TTGCGGATTGGCCTTCATTTCACACGTATCTAGCGAATACGATAGACGAATACTTTTTGAATACGGTCTCCAGAATGAATTTTTTTTAATACGGTGTCGATCCGGCGCCGTGTGGACGATCGAATCCGTATATCCGTGTGAATACGCTGACGTAATATAGCACCAATCTTTAACGCGCACTCATGGTCATGCTCAAGTGCGTATGTTTTCTTAACCTAAGATTTTGATATCCGGATACGTATCGGATACGTGTGGATGGTCTAAAACGATGCGAATACGCTGCGTGGGTTCAAAAATATCCGGATACGTGTGGACAAGGCCTAAGAAATGATACGGCTCTAGCGGATGACACGTGCTCTGATTATGTTAGCACATGCGTAATAGGTAAATTACGATCCTTGTATGGAACGACTGAAGAAGAGAGCCAATGGCCCTTTCACAACTTCAAGTCGCGTAAAAAATGAGCCAGTTCAACTAGAAACCATGGACAGCTGTTTCGGCCTATATTCGTCCTCGTCAGCATGGTGTATCTAGTGTGTTGGTAGAATCCCACGAAAAAGTAGTAGATGAGAGATGAGGCGGTAAGCCGTGTGGGATGGGCTCTGATTATGTTAGCATATGTCAATGGTATTAAATCCTAGTTTATTAAAACCTGGGCATTCCTCCTGTTTAAAAGATTCTCCCTCGCATTCTCTTCCGCCTCCAGACGGTTCAGGATTGGTACAGGATCGCGTTCTAACTTTCTTTCCTCCACCACACAGCCCTATTCCACATCCACTCCATACACTCCAGGTACTCCAACCACCATCCTCTGGAAGATAAATAAAGAAAAATCAACGAATTGACATTTTGGCACTCCTTTATGATGTACTTCCAACAGGCTTTCAGTTTTCTCTGACATTGGTTGAGTTTAAGGTGACTTTTTAACTTTCAATTTGAGCCCATGATGTGCGCGCGCTCAAAAACTGCTGAAAAATCTACAAGATTTTATTGAAGAACCATACGCGTTTTGAGCTTCAACAGGACAAAACCCTCAAATTTTGCACGAGACTCTATTTTTTAATAGTTTATTTAAATAAACTCCTAAAAATCAACATTTTAGAAAAAGTTAAATATTCTAACACATGAAAAAATAGATTTTTGTAGGGAATTTTGTTCGACTTCGCGAATTTTTTTAAGAGCACCGAAGCTGCAAAATATGACAAATCAATGTATCTCTCTGTCTTTTTGTGGAAAATAACTATGTATTACTGTAGAATGATTGACTAGCCGTCATTCGTGCAATCATATATTCTGCAAATAGCTATTATCTTATGAATCTTAATTTTTTTCTTTTCACTTCCGGTGGTACAATTTTTGCTCCAAAAGCTCGTGCGTAGGCTTCCATTAAATGCTGATTATTTCGAAAACAAGCTCAAGACACGGGAATCAACATTAAATTTCAATTCGGAAAATCGAATTTTTGTTTTTAAAAATTGTTTTTTTTTTCTCACAGGCTAAGGCAAAACCAATCATTCGTGCAAACGTAACAGCGGACTGCGTTATTCATTATGATTGTTATGTCATTAATACCACGAGGGCACCTACATCTATAAACCTTCGAGTAAAGCACAAAGAAATATAATACACTAAAATGTAAACTATATTACGGAAAAGACATTTCTATCGTGGCTCATGTTACACCCGGGTCGCACTTAAACCAAAACGAAAATTTGATCGCCAAATTTTCTCCAAAGTTTTGGTATTTAAACCGGACATAACACTTTTTGGATTTATTTTCTTGATGTGTTTGTGGTCGCACTGACGTTTGCAAACTTGGCAGTCTGACAGTTCATTAAAGCCAGATGCCAAGCAATCAAGCAACAAACTCTTTATTTCGCGCGAGTTTTTTATAAACAAACTCCCAATAATGCGCCCAGCCGAAGCACTCGCGATAGCTATAAATTTCTCGATTTCACTAACTAATTTTCCACCACACCTAAACAGGAGCGTGGTAACCTTATATCTTGAGTTATGCATTCATAGCGCGCGTGACATCATTTTTAGGACTTCAAGGGTCAAGCGCATTTCCAAGAATCGTCTGAACATAATTATTCAGCCTACTTCCTCAAATCTTGCCAACATGGAATCGTTTGTGGACGATCTAAAGAAGGAAGTCCAATGTTCTTTGTGTAATGATACGCTTACAGAACCTAAGATCTTGCCGTGTTTTGACACATTTTGCAAGCCCTGCATCAAAAGACACGCAGAGCTGATCGAAGAAGTCAACGTCTTCAAGTGTCCTCGATGTAAATCACAAACTCCTCTACCAGAACCAAGCAGCGTGGATGATCTACAGCCAAGTCTACTTCATTCTAGAATATCAAAGGGTCTGGCGTTGGTAGAAGGAAAAAAGGTTTGTTCTGTTTCTGAGAGTCATTCGTCAGCATCTTGTTATTGTTTTGATTGTGATCGCTCGATGTGTGAGGAATGCAAGAATTACCATTCAGAATTTATCAAAGATCACAAGGTCGTTTGTCTGGCTGATTTGAAGAAAGAAGATATTGAGTTCGTAATAACAAGAGAAAATCCTTGTAAAAGTCACCCTAGTCACAGGCTAGAGTTATTCTGTGAAGACTGTGAAGACATGATTTGCTTGACATGCTTGAAACACGATCACAAGGATCATAAGACAATTTCGTTAGATAAGTTTGCTTTGATCAAGAAAGCTGTATTGTCAAAGCATCTGCAGGTACTAGAGCAGTTGAGATTAGATGACAAGGAGAAGCAACAACAAGAAAAGATTGCTAACACAATCAAACAACAAGGAGAAAAAGCCAAAAAAGAAGTGAAAGACAAAACCAAGAAGATTATCGAAATGCTGCAAGAAAACGAAAGAGAATTGCTGAGACAAATCGATGAGAAGTTGAACACCGCCACAACAAACTTGAATATAATTCATCATAGTCAAAACGTCGAAAAATACATCAAGAATGAGATGGAAAGAGGACTCGCAAGTGAAACGATGAACATTCAAGAGACACATTGCTCGGAGAGATTCATCTTTAACTACATTCCACTCTCCTCTCGAATTGCGTTCGTTCCTAATGAACAGCTGGTGCAAGAAGTGAATTCAGGGCTGGGAGAAATACGAACTTGTTTGAAAACAGACCACACGAAGAGCACTATTGAAGTACAATCTGAGACAGAAGCTTTAAAGAAAGAAAGCCTCGTGTTGATAACTAAAGCCTCTACAGGACAAGGGTGGATCCAGGGTAGTTTACGTGATTTCCGTAAACTACTCAATTTTTTTCAAAGCTACACAT